GATAGAGGGCAGAGCAACAGCTGTTGGGGTGAGGGGAGGGGGTGGAGGAGGTGGAAGAGGGTATAGGGGAAATAAATGGTGACGGATGGAGACTTGACTTGTGGTAGTGAACACCCCATAGTGTACAGATGAGGTTGTAGAATTGTGCACCTGAAACGTGTAGAATTTTCTTAATCAGTGTCACCCCAATAAATTCAATAAAAAGGGGAGAAAAAAAAGAACATCACTGAAGTGAATGTACATTAGTGTTACTCTAATCAATGTTCCAACCAAATGCCATCATAGTAAAACACGGAAGGGCCCTTCCTAGTAAACCCTGTGAGCACCATGAGTTGACATGAGAAAGCACCTGTTCTCAGTGGTGAGATCTTTGAGGACAGGGACTATCTGTCCTACTGACTACATTATCATAGTAAATAGGCTACAGAATTGATCAAACTATTCTCATAGCTTAGGATTACAATCCCATTAGTAAGTTTCCTTCTCAGCAGGTATGTCCTTCCCCGGATTTCCCCTACTGTTAACACGTTCCATTCCCACAGAACACTCGCCAGATCTAAGAAGTCAATATTCGTACATTCACTGAACTCCAGCATGAATTTGGATTTCCCTAGTTTCTTCACCACTGTCCTTTTTCGGTTGTTGGATCCAATCTAGGAAAACCCATGTCTCCTGAGTGTCCTCCGGTCTGTGATGGTCTCAGTCATTCCTTGCTGTTCACCAATGTAATAGTTTTGAGGGATGTTTTGCAGCATATCCCTCATTTGAAGTTTGCCTCATGGTTCTTCTCATTAGACCGGGTCGACTGGGATTGTGGGTTTATACCCACAGAGGTGCCCTTTTCATCACATCACAGAGCAGGACGTGACATGAACGTGAATTCCCACTGGTGACGTCTGCCCTAATCTCTGGGTTAAGGCCGTCTGTCTTCCTTGACCGTAAAGGAACATTTCCCCGTTCCGCACTCTGTTCTCTGGGGGAGTCATCAGGTGCAGCCGACACTCAGAGGCAGGGGTGCCAGAGGTCAAGAGCTGCGACAGACAGCTCCGCTGGGGCTGCAGCCCACTTGATAGGAAGACATTTCACTTGCTTGCAGTAAAACGTTGGAACAGTAGCAATGGGTCAGAAGAGGAGGGGGAAACTAAGTAGCTTTCTAGCTATTTACCACACAAGGATTTCAATGTAAGGAAGATACTCATATCAGAATGTTTTTTTTAGCCCTGGCCGGTTTGGCTCAGCAGTTAGAGTGTCGGCCCGCGGACCAAGGAGTCTTGGGTTCGATTTCGGTCAAGGCACGTACCTCGGTTGCAGTTCGTTCCCGGCCCTGGTTGGTCGGGTCGTGCAGGAGGCAACCAGTCAATGTTTCTCTCTCTCTCTTTCCCTCCCACTCTATGTGAAGATAAATAGAAAAATATCCTCGGGTGAGGATGAAAAGAAATATTTTTTTAAGTTTAAAAGACTTTGGTAGTAAAGTAGTTTCTCCATTCTCTCCTTAAGAACCATTCAAAAGAAGAACAAGAAACAGAAATTGTAAACTCCACATTGTAAAAAATTTGAAAGGCAAACCCACAACACAGGAGGAAGGGCTACCAAACCCAAGAGAACAGAGGTGCAGGAGGGTGTTGAGAGGGGGTGCCCATCCCTGCAGCTCTCAGGCACACTCAACAAGAGAAACTCAGAAAAGAAGAAACTAGAAATTAATGTACAAAAATTAGAGAAGAGCTAATAAAATTACCATCATTTACAGATGTGATTATTTTCAAGTACAACCCAAGAAATGCATTAAAAATATTGCAAAAATGAGAATTGAGTAATGTAGCTGTGACGGTTAAATTTTTTTTTTTCACATCCTCACCTGAGGGTACTTTTACATTTATCTTCAGATAGAGTGGGAGGGAGAGAGGGAGGAAGAGGGAGAAACATCGACGTGAGACACATCGACTGGCTGCCATCCACATGACCCCAACTGGGGCCAGGGACAAACTGCAACAGAGGTACGTGCCCTTAGCGGGAACCGAACCAGGGACTCTCTGGTCCGCAGGCCGATACTCTTAACTGCTGAGCCAAACCAGCCAGGGCTGTGATGGTTAATTTTAGATATCAACATGACTGGGCCAAGAGATGCCCAGATAGCCGGTCAAACATTATTTCTGGGTGTGTCTGTGAGGGTGTTTCAGGAAGACATTAGCATTTGGATTGGTGGACCGAGGAGAGCAGATGGCCCTCTCAATGTGGGTGGTCATCACCCAATCAGCTGAAGGCCTGCATTGAACAAAGAGGTGGCGGAAGGCTAAAGTCCATCTCTACCTGATTGTAGGAGAGCTGACCCCCAGTCTTGGTCCTCAGACTTTCAGAACCGGACTGGAATCTATTCTGTGGGCTCTTGCTCCCAAGCTCTTATACACCAATAGCTTTCCTGGGCCCCTACTTGTAGACAGCAGACTGTAGAGCTTCTCAGCCTCCATAATCACCTGAGTCAACACTCTGTAACGTGTGTGTGTGTGTGTGTGTGTGTGCGCGCGCGCACATGTTTCTCTGGAGAACCCTGATTAATGGAGTAGCTAAGTACAAAACCAGCTTAAAGGAATATACATAACCTTATAATGAAAAAAAAAAACAAAAAACCACTCACCATTTATAGAATGCCAAACCAAAAAACAAACCACCTTATGATGTAGTTAAATAGAAATACTAGCCCTGGCTGGTTTAGCTTAGTGGTTGGAGCGTCAGCCTGCAGACCAGAGTTGCAGGTTCGATTCTGGACAAGGGCACATATCTCAGTTGTGGTTCATCCCCAGCCCAGTTCAGGGTTGTGCGGGAGGCAAGCAGACAATGTCTCTCACATCGATGTTTCTCTCTCTCTCTCCCTCCCTCCCACTCTATCTGAAAATCAATGGAAAAGAGTCCTTGGGTGAGGATTAAAAAAAAAGAAATACTATGTTCATAGTAATATCGATTCCTTCATAGGAATAATTAACACCAAGATAGCAATTCTAAGTTAGCCCTTGATTGAACACACAACCAATACCCACTACAAAAACAATTTCAAGGAGAAGGTTGAATATTGATTCCAATATTTATATAGAAAAGTTAACCCAGAAAAAGGCTAAGTTGTAAGGATGGACACCTGATGGGTGGAAGCCAGGGAGCAAGGTGACAGGAACGGAACAGCGGAAGCTGGGTGGGTGCTGGAGGGGTTGCCTGGAAGGGGCGGCAGGAGGGAACTCCGGAGTGACGGAACTGTGGTGGCTGGATACACAATCCAAGTATTTGTCAAAACCCACACGAATGTACACCACAAGGAACAAGTATTATTGTGTATAAACCAGTAAGTCAACCAGAAGAAGAAAATAACCCACAAGAATAACCAAAAACCTGGCAAAGAAATGAGAGGAAGCCAGCCCTACCACACCTGGTGCTACAATAATCTAAACAGTGTGGTACAGGCAGATGAGTACACAGGTCCATGAAACCAGCTACAAGGTCCAGAATGGACCCAACTATACTAGGGAATCTGGTATATAACACTTGAAATCCAGAGGGAGCAGATGTTTTAAACACATAGTACTGGGTAGCATTCTGGAAGGGGAAAAAGTGTGACCCCTATGTCCTATCTTCTATCAAAATAAATTCCAGATGAATAAACCGAAAACATAGAATTTTTTTTTTTTTTTTCATCCTCACCTGAGGACATTTTTCCATTTTTTGTACAGATAGAGTGGGAGGGAGAGAGAGGAAGAGAGAGAGAGAAACATCGACGTGAAAGGGACAATCGAGTGGCTGCCACCCGCACGACCAACCAGGGCCGGGGACAAACTGCAACTGAGGTACATGCCCTTAGCGGGAACCGAACCCTGGTCTCTCCGGACCGCAGGCCGACGCTCTAACCGCTGAGCCAAACCGGCCAGGGCTAAAACCTAGAACTTTAAAGCTAATAGAAAAAAATGAGTTTTATAATCATGCAATGAGGAAGACCTTTGTTGGTGACACAAAATGTGAGTCATAAGATAAACTATACAAAAATATAAATTTCTCTATCATTTGTTTAAAAAATGTATCTCCTGTAAAGACTTATTCTGGAAAGATACATGTAATACTCGCAACAGTGACTGCCTCAGGGAACGAGCGTGGGGAAACTGACATTAGAACTTTGTGTTGATTACGTGTAATTACCTATTTCAAAAATATGAATAAAATAACTTTTTGCATTGTCTGCTCCTAACCATCAACTTAAATAACTGATAGCTCACCATAAAAAACTGTTAACAATATACATATGCAATTCAGAAATAACATAGTTCCTGGTGCAGTACTGGACACATAAGAAGTGCTTAAATTATGTAGGTGGCTATTATTTGTCACTGTCTTCCTACAATACTAATTATTTTGAAATCCATCATTATTATTTTCAAAGCTGGGAATTCTGTATATGGTATCACTGCACAGTGTAATAGAAAACGTTCCATTTTTCCAAGAATAGTTCGGTGAGCCAACACTCAGCTCTCCGGACCCTTTACATCAATGCCACTGGGGCCTGCGGGTCTGCTCACACTCCCTCTCGCTCACACCCCTGGCCCGTGCTGGTCCACAATTCCTGCACACGTCCTTGCTTTCTTCCACACTTTTCAAACTAGTTTCTTTGGCTCAGAGAACCTGACCCCACCTCTGCCCACCGAAATCATTCTTCCTCACGGGGCAACTCAAATCCCACCTGTCCACGCAGCTGCCCACAAACTCTGCAGATAGGTATTCTATGCTCACACAGAGAGAGGTAACGAGATAAAAAGATGCAAAGGCAGAACAATCAATTTAAAAAGTTATTTATTAAACAAGTTAAATACAAATAAAAGTATATTTAAAAGTCTAACTATTGGATCCCTTTGAAATACCTATTCTGGGAAGAAGCACCTTCCAAACTTTCTAGTGATAAGGGAAATGATAAAAATACAACACATGTAAAAAGTTTTTAAACAACGATAAAGTACATGGAGAATTCAGAAATAAAAACAAACATACAAACTATTGATGTATGAAACCAAAACGTTCATGTTTTTTAAATGCTTACGGTATGCTCTCGTGAGGGCCAAATTGTCCATGTCCATGTCGATAAACAGTATCCAGACACCATTTTAAGGTATCATAATTGGTTTTATAGAAATAATTTTCAAATGTGTTGGGTGTCAATTGTTCAAATTTAGCAAACATATTCTACATATGGACATATTCACTTATGCTTAATGAAAAAATAACATAATTTAAACATCTTGATTTGAGAGCTAGATTTGATAGTTGTTAAATTCCAACATCAAAGTTGCTAAATGCATTATCAAAAGAGTTATTCAATTTTTTTTAAAGCTGCTTCTAAAAATTTCGGTAATTTAGGGCAAATTACCATGTAGTCTTATTTAGAAATTGTGATGCTTTGGTTCTGTGGTTAACACACTAAAAACGTGCAACAGAGCAGATCGCTACAGGAAAGCTTGTCTCCTTCAGGACTCCCAAGGGTGTCGTGTAATATATCCCTGGAGAGAGCGGTTTCACCACATATTTGGCAGTAGCTTCTGTTTAAAACTTTGCCCGATAACAGCCATCACAGGCTTTCAAAGACCATTCCTGGCAGTACACATGGGATCCAGGATGCGCGGGGACTGCCTCTGTGAAAACACGGCTGCCTGTGTGCAGGGGTGTGTGCGCATGTGTGCACACTGTAAGGACGTAATGGGACGAAATGGTTTACCCAGAACATAAACACATTTTCCTTATCACATCCCAAGTGTATAAATAATGTAAATCAAATTACTTAGAATTTAAATGGATTCTGAATTTCTATGGGAGGTAATTTCCCCCCATTTTATCATTTTTCACAGAGGCCAAAGCTTTAGTTACACGATCTCCCAGACCCCGAGGGAAGTCCCCTGCCCCGCTCAGTCGGAGAGAGAAGGAGAGCGAATAGACCTGCCGCTGGCGGGGCTGGACAGAGTGAAAGGCTCCTTGTCCTTCTCTTTGCTGTCGTGCTTGTGCTTGTGCTTGTGCTTGTGTTTGTGCTTCTTCTTCTTCTTCTTGTGCTCGTGGTGGTGGTGGTGGTGGTGGTCGCTGTGTTTGGAGGACGTCGACTCCTTAGCAAACACTGAGAGTGGAGCTGTGGCAACTGGATGCATACTTATCTCCAAGGGGGACTGTTCTTTACCTTCAAGATTAAAAACACCCAAATGAATTTCTGTTGGTAACAAGGAAAGTAAAACGAAAGTAAGAGGGAGCTGATGACAGTAGAGAAAAGGGATTTCTAAGTGTTATTACTTGCATGGGAATAACTAGGAATAGGAGAAGTACCATCCAAATAAGTACACAAAAATAAGTTTTCAGCACTGTGGTCAGGAAGTTGAACATCAATTCCTGTAGTCTATATAAATTATGACATATATCAGTGTGTTAACAAACAATTTTCTAAAATTTAACATTTACTGTTTTTAAAAATATGTTTTAATTGATTTTTTTTTAGAGAGAGGAAGGGAGGGTGAGAAGATAGAAACATTGATGTAGGAGATAAACATCAATCAGCTGCCTCCTGCACGCCCCCTACTGGGGATCGAGCCAGCAACCTGGGCATGTGCCCTGACCAGGAATCGAACTAGGACCTCTCAGTCCATGGGACGATGCCCAATCCACTGAGTCACACGGCTGGGCTAACATTTACTATTTGAAAGTACTATGAAGAGACCATAATGATTACATGTCATAGGCTAAGACCCACACAGCTCCTCTAACTACAGTTGTGCCCTAATGTACTGGGGGCAGGGAGATGGCAGTGCTGTATTTGTGGCATCTGGAGAACCACTTATACACACATACCATGTTATACTAAGATACTGACAATGACATCTGAAAAAAACAAGTTTCTATACTTCTTTAAAATAATTTCTAGGGATGGGCAAAGTAAATTCTTTAAGTATATTCAGCATACTTAGCATAAGAAACCCAGAAAAGGTGGGGAGCATATAAAGAAAATGTTTCTACTTGAAAATAAGAGTAATGTTACTAAAAACTAAAGCACACAAAACCTGAGAATTAGGAGACCTGTGCTCTCGAATAGGTTCTGCTGCTAATCGTCAGCATGTATCTTATCCTTCTCTATATCACCGAAAAAATGAATCAAATGTCTTTGAAAGTTCTTTCCGTATCAAACATTCTATCAGTTTAGGAATCTACACTAGTTTTCAGACTCTAGTGTCCAAGAACTGCTTCCTCCAGGCCCGAGAATCCTTGGGCCAAACCCTAAGAAAATATTCTTTCTGTGTTACTCTAGGTTAACATTACTGCTTTACATGTAGCCAACTAAGAAAAAAGCCAAAGAATCTTCTCAGGCGCCCTCCCTTCTAGATCTACAGTAGTTGGTTACCAAGTCTTACTGATTCTCACAAATCTCTTACATCTGCCCCTAGTCCTCTCTGCAAGAGCTGATTCCCACCCCCAAACTCCCTGGGCTACGTCGTGCTCGCTTCCTATCACCTGGTCTGGGCCTGCAGCGTCTTACACGCAGATCACCTGCCACGGCTGCACACACTGCTGCTCAGCCAGGGCACGTCGCCCCCAAGGGGTTATGTGGCGATGTCTGGAGACACTGTGGTTGTCACAGCTGGGGTGGGGTTGGGCAGGAAGTGTTACTGGCATCCTAAGGGTAGAGGCTCAGGATCCTGTCAAACAGCACACAATGCACAGGACAGCCCTACAACACAGACTTCTCATGGCCAAAATATCAACAGCATTCAACATGGGAGACCCTGCTCCATGGAGATTTTCCTAAAAACAAAGTGGATCATAATTATCTGCTTAAAAACTCAGTTCTAACTGACAACAGAATAACTTTAGTGAAACAGTTTCTGGAAAAAACAAGCAAACAAACAAACTTTTACCCAAACTAAAAAAATAGGCTTTTCACTAAAATGGACTACAATACAGTAGTTTCTTTTCTTTTTTCATTTATTTATTTATTTATTTACTTACTTACTTATTTTTTATCTATCTATCTATTTATTTATTTATAATCCTCACCTGAGGATATTTTTTACATTTATCTTCAGACAGAGTGGGAGGAAGGTGGGGGGCATTGATGTGAGAGAGACACATCGATTGATTGCCACCTGCATGACTCCAACCAGGGCTGGGGACAAACTGCAACCGAGGTCCATGTCCTTGGCCAGAATTGAACCTGGGACTCTCTGGTCCACAGGCCAATGCTCTAATTGCTGAGCAAATCTGGTCAGGGCTTTCTTTTTTAAAGGTAAATACTCAGCACTAATTCTAATCTAACCCAGCCCAAACCAGTTTTTAAAAAAACAGACACCACCCCAGAATTTTCCACAATCACTTCCAGCACTAATTTCAGTAGCAGCGTATACTCTACCCTGAACCTCCCTTCCCACCTATGTCTGGCCTTCCTTTCTGGACACCCGAGCTAGCCCTTTCACAAGTCTGTGGAGTTGTCAATGCTCCTCTCTGGGCTTCGAGTGCCCTTCCCTGACTTCTCGTCTGACTTGGACACTCATTCAACAAGTATCAGGAACGACATGGCAATGAGAGGAAACAGTGATGAATGAACCTGCAGACCCGAGTGATAAAAAGCAAACACAGAGTGAGACAGACGCTGAACAGGAGGCTGGAATGAGTTGGGTAGAAGTGGGAGGCAGGCAGAGGCGAACTTCTCCAACAAGTGACGGCTATGCGAACACAGGAGGGGAATGGCAAAGAAACAACACTTCAGTGATGTAAGACTCGGCTCACATGTGACTGCTGAGGGCACATTTCCTAAAATGCTCCTCCCAACTCCAAATCAGTTCTTTCACACTCCCACCACCAAACACAAGTGAGGAAATTAAGGCCTAGAGAAATTAAGTATGTCGCCCCAGATTGTACTGGCAGGTCTGAGCTACAGGACCAGAGCCCGACACGGGGTCCGTGCTCCCTCCGCCTGTCTGCGTGTCGCGCAGTGTGCAGGCAGCGCACCTTTTACCTTTGGGTCTATTCCTTCACTCAGCACAGAGAGTCTGTCTTTTTCACTTTGGTAACACAGTGTCACACAGTATCCAGCAGCCCCTACTCTCCCACCTCCCTCCCCACCCTTGCCAAGGTTTACTAAACACATGAATTTATACAAGAGAATTATATAATTGTCGTGTTTCTTTTTAAATAGAATGTCAGGTGAACTTAGTCCAACCAAAAGCAACTGAAGGTCACAAATTTTGAAGGCAGAGGGATAAAGCACAGAAACTATGACAGATGCTCCAAATGGTGTTGACTATTTCCTTTATGTCCAGCACTATTCTAAGTTTTAGAGCAAGTGAAAAGTCAAACAAAATTTCGTTACTGCAAAATTAAATTTTTTTACATTCATAAAGGTTTTGGTAAAGCTAACACTAATAATAATAATAATAATAATAATAATAATAATGCATAAGTTGCCCTGGCTGGTTTGGCTCAGCGGTTAGAGTATTGGCCCGCGGACCAATGAGACCCGGGTTCAATTCTGGCCAAGGGCACGTACCTCGGTTTCAGTTCGTCCCTGGCCCTGGTCAGGGTCATGTGGGAGGCAACCAGTTGATGTGTCTCTCTCCCTCCCCTCCTAATCTGTCTAAAGATAAGTGAAAAAATATCCTCAGGTGGAGATTAAAAAAAAAAAATGCAAAAGCTAAATAAAGAGAATGTTTATATATAGAAGCAAGTTTGGGGATGTGTATCTTTTATAATAATTGGTACCCAGATATTCTTCAGAAAAAGAAAAAATCTGAGAGATTTCTGATTCATAGTATTAGTGAAATGTGCCACTTTTTCAGTGATTTTCAACCAATGTGCTGCAAGAATTTTTAAAACATGGAATACTTGACTATTTAGTCAGGGGCACGGACCTCTTTTCCCTTAGACTGTCAAATAAACAAAAACAACCAACCCAATAGTCATCTGGTGTGAATTAATCAAAATTATACCTATTTTTATTTTTGCCAGATGAGCAAAATATATATATTTTTTTGGCGTGCCACAGAATTTTAGTCATTAGTTTGTGTGTCATGAGATGAAAAAGGTTGAAAATTGCTGCACTATATGATTTTAATTTAGGTTTTAAATGAATTACATGAATGTGGTCACAATTCTATAACTATAAGTAATCAGTTCCATATCAAATGAAATACATAGCCAGGTAATGAGGAGAGGCAATAAGAGACTTGAAGACCTCATGAACAAATTCCTTTAGCGCCTATCTCATTATTTAGTCCGTCTATATCAACAGACTGCAGCTTTCCAATCGGCTGTGTGCACCGCTGGGAGTCCGTGGTCCTTTTCTGTACTGAGGGAAGTCTCATCATCTAACCCTAAATACTTGCCAAGCTACTTGGATTGCAGAAAAGCCAATAGTTATATTGGAAAATGTACTTCCCAGCAGAGGCATCTGCCAAATGGACAACTGAGCGTACGTGGGTGTACTCTTTTCCAAGGAATACTTATATAACCACTTCAAAAGTACAATTTCTTGTCTAGGGGCCTTAACTTTGCATTAGAAGTACACTGATTGATTATAAATCTTAAATTTCTTTTGATTTCTATGAAGGCTTATTATGAAGACAATAGATTAACTGGATCCAAGGATAAAAGTGTTAGGAACCAGGGCTCCTAGGACACATGGCTGATTGCAGGTCTGGGTAGATAATTTACAAGATGAGTCTGAAATACCTGGTGGAATAGCAAGGAAGTTCAAGTCTTCCCAATGCACTCAAGAGTCAACTTAAGAGGTTCTCACTGTCCAAAGATGGGACAATTTGAATACTGATAATGAACTGGAACTGACTGATCACCACACTAGAGAATGCTAGTCAGTCAATTCATTATTTTGAAATCTATTCAGTAAACAGAAAGAATTAAGCCTTTATCTTTTTCCTATATGACCTATACCACAAGAAATAATAGATGAGGGGGAATTCAGCTTTATAAAACTAATCCAGTTTCTAAGTAAAAATGGAAAGATAACTTAAAATATTACTTTTTACAACCCTCAGAGTTAATGAATCTAACCCCTGAACATCTCAATGACCAACCTCAAAAAAGTCAGCCAGACTGAATAACACACCACCTATAAACCTGAATTCAGTTAAGCTTCTCGATACAACTACACATTTATAGGAAATACAGAGGACTCTAACG